CGGTTGGACTTCTTGCTTAGCACGTCACCAAGAGGAGAGCACAAGAAGCTTATCAACGGTCCAATCTTTGACCACGTTTCCTTCAAGAGTTCCCCAAACTCTTCCTTCCGTTGAGAATAAGTCGTGATCTCCACCGAAGATAATCTCTAAGCTGCGATAAAGAAGCTTTGAGGATATGTTATGATCTCCACAAGAATGATCTCTTATCTACTATAAAATGGCTCTAATCTGAGAGAGAAAAGGAGACACCCCACCAGAGGCATACAGAAGACGAACCGACTACCGGAGATTATTATTTTTCTTTGATTCTCCATTCTCTCTCTCAAAGCTTGTATCTCCATTCTCCATACCTTTAAATCAATAAAATACCCGGCAACTGAAGCCATTGAAGAGTGGACGTAGGTCGAATTGACCGAACCACTATAAATTGTGTCTTCTTTAATTTTCTCATTGATTTCATTGCATTTATCATCTATACTTGACAGGTGGTGTGCAAAACCATTTTTGTGCATCATCAATATCAATGTTTCAGAGGAATTTATAATATAAAATATGATAAATTTTAATAAATTTATTCGACGATTTCAAATAAACTCATCTAACGGCTACTAACAATCTATTTCAAAGTCATTCACATTGTACCGTACCTTCCGACACGTGTTTCTTTTAGTAAATTAATAAATGTGAGACTCGTGATTTATAAAAAAAATTGACTCCTCGTGGCCAATCTTGGTCCTACTACTGTCAATTCTTATTATGTCGGGCAATATGTCTCGTTTGGATTTGGATGAGAGTATTATTAATTAGGAAACAATATTTTTCGGCTAATACGATAATTTCATATTTAGTGTTTTGTTCTTATAATGTAATATAATAATTGATATATTTTTATGTTGTTTGAAATGAACTTAACTTTTGAGAAGGGATTGGTTTTAGGAAAATGACTTAATTTTAGATATGAAATAATTCTAGGAAAGAGCTAGATTTTAAGATTTTTACTATTTATTTAGAATTATCAATCAAGATATACTGATTTGATATTACTTCCGTCAATCGGTAAATATGGGTATACGATCGTTGAAAATTTTATTAAAAAATAATCTCATTTCTAATTTAGGAATGAGTTCGATTGTCATTTCAAAATAAAATTACAACCGTCTAAATGAGAATTAATGTTTACTCAGATATATCTACAATCGTAATGAAAGAATTATTTACTCATGAACCGACATTTCAAAATTTAAACTACCTCAATCCATGGACTTTGACATTAATGGTGTTCACGAATGTGTGATTTTTGAGGTTGTTAATTTTCTATTCTAATTTTTTTAACTTGACGCGAACTTAACAACTATGGATTTAACTTAAATGGGTTGGGTCATAAACGGACTAACAAGCAGGAACTGTTATATAAAAAAGTGGACATAAATTTTGTTAAAGACAATTTGATAAAAACTCGAAACGATAAGTATTTAATTATATAGAAACACAAATGAGTTGGGCATAAATTAAACAAATTTTGACATTACACAATTTAAAAATATTACAGTATCACACCCAAAATCAACTAATAATAATTGGAAATGCCCATAAAACTCATTCACAAGTTGAGGTGTTTGTTCCATCGATGTGAGACAATTTGTAAGAAGAAATTAATTAGAATACAATTTAGTGCACTTTTGACAAGATTAAAGGGAGATTTAGTTAATATTGAATAGTGTTGCTCAAAAATCTCTCTTGCAATGCCATGTTAAATTTTTGGTAAAAGATTGAAAAGAGAAAATAACCACACATAAACAAATTAATATAACATGATTCTATTTTAGGAACATTATAATCGGTGTGCGGAGAATAAAATTTCGCATAGAAAATATATATCACATTTATGACTGTGATATCTATGTACAAAGTTAATATTGATCATCAATGCTAGGTAGGAATGTCAATTTAGTTAAATTAGTGTCCTAACCTGAAAGAATTGACAAATATTAAGAATTATTGTGTCACAAATAATAGAATATTATAATGAATACATAAATAATAAAAATTCACATGAAAAACATATATCAAAGCATCTTAAATAGGGATCATATTTTTCAAAAAATTAATACTATTTAAATTTAAAAATTTTACTTAATTTGTTGACATAATGATGTGATTTCGTAATAATCATTTGATCAACTCTAAGTTCCAATGTTTGAAAGATTTTACAGTAAATTCAAAGGTTACATTAAATTAGATTAGTAAATTATGTCAATAAATTAGGTTCTAATAGCATTGCTCTTTTCAAAATATAGCACATCTTTAATGAAAAGTTAAAATAGATAGTGTTTTTTTTTTAGTCAACTCCAATGACTTTCTACTCTAATAGAAAAATAGTTTTTATATTCAAAGTATTTGATAACAAATGTATATGTGTTATCTTTTTATTTATAAGTTAAAGAGTAAAGACTGAGTTTAACTCGTCAAATGTAAAGAGTCTATTGGACTTAAATTTTCGGTTGTTGGCTTTTTAAAATAGAAGTAACTATTGGGTGTAACAGCGATATCACATCATTAATGTCACGTAATGTCAACAACCAATTATAAAATAATAAATAGAATTGAAGAGCCCTATTATTTCAACATGACAAATAATGATAAGATGGTTATTAGTAATTATTAATTAATAAAGTACACAAAGTCCGGTTAGTATCTTATCACGTCTTAGTAATACTAAGTGATATTAATGATGTAGTGTCATCGTTATATTTAATATTTATTTTTAAAATAGAGAGTTAAATAAGAATAAAAAATTTATTAAAAATATTCTTATATATATAAATACGACAAGCGAATACAAATAAATAGATAATAATCAAACTTAAAAAAACTCATAACGTTGGCAAATTGTGACTCGTTGACAACCCTGATAACTTCTATAGTTGAGGGCATTGTTGGTGATCCTCAAAATAGATAATAATAAATAAATAAAAAAGAATTATTTGAAAAAAGGGTAAGGATAAATCGACAAAGATTGGTGACAAGCGGCGACGATGCGCTGCGAGCTGGAAAAGGTGGGCTACACGTGTCTTAATGCATATACACTTGGCTTCATACATCTTTCTCTATATTCTATACTATCCTATGTCGACGTGATGATTATCCTCCGACTAAAAACCCATTCTTATGTTCTTGTCCCGTAGTCAATTATTTCATGTCTCCCTTGGATTCATAGAAAAAGCTTTGCTTTTTCTACGATTTGCTAGCTGCCGCCTCATTTACCATGTCTTGGAACTATAAACATGTGGCTGTCTGAAGAATAAAGGAAAGAGGGTTCTGATACAACTCAACTTCTTATTGTTTCATATACATCCAGAACTAATAACGACAATTGTTTTGAGGATGAATAAATTTGAAATAAAGTTGTTGTGGGTGGCCTGACCTTCCCACTATTAATTAAAATTTAAAAGGAAGCAATCTCTCTTTCTGTTGTCGGTCGGTCAGCCTCCAAATGTAATGATTAGCTCAGATAAGAGCACTTCAAGCTATTCATAGATCCAATTCAAAGTAGTGGTGTGTTACCGGGTCGCTACTTCAAGTTGTGTACCTCGACACAGCTTTCTTGGAAGTCATGACAAGCTTTTATCTTAATCATACTGGTTAATGGCAAGCATCAATAAGTTCTATCCTCCGATTCCTAAAACTTATGTGCTTAACATAATCTCCGACCTACTTATCCCCTGTTCATCCCACTCTTTCTGCAAAATGTACCATGTGGGAATGGAGATTGAGATGGCAGATCTTATAACAAGCCCATCAAACCAATGTTATGAATAAGCAGTAATGTATTCTCAGTTTGATTAGTTTATCTGGAAACACTGTTCATCATTTCGTAGCCAAAAATAATTACATTCAAAAAACTTTACATGAAGTAACAGCATCGATAGCATACATTCTCATTTTGTCTATTCATCGCTGAATCTACATGCAGAGGCTTTATTCACGCACGATGAACTGTTTTACAGTGCCATGGATTCCTCAGAAAAACCATCAGGACCACGCTTTATTGCATCAACTTGGTGGATTATACAAAAATGAGTCATCAATATGTTCCACAATGCTCTGCAATCCAGAACGGTAATCAGGATGAAGCAGCCTCACCTCAAGTTCTCTCTTCATACGAGCATTGGAAACTCGCTTCCCGTCCCTTGAACTTCCCTTTGGCATCAATGATTCTACCCTATCAAGAGATCTAGCTTGTTTTATCTGGCCAGGCCATTTCTTCTCAATCAAGTTGCGCGCAAACATAAATACTTCTGTCCTTGGGGAAGGGTCATCATCAACTATGTTGTATATTTTCCTTTGACAAAATAAGTTTACAGATCAGTCCCAAATCCTGATACATCTAGAGAAAGAAATGCTAACTCAAAACAGAGCACAAAGGGAAAGTTGATACACAAGGGAAGAAGAAGGATATAAAACACTAAGTATGGAAATCCATATAGAAGTCTAATTGTTGAAATAAAGTGAAGCATGAAAACATCACAGTTGATTTCTTATTGGACTAACCCCAGGGATGGCTTGTGCACAGCAGCATTCAGTGCTTGAGAAATGTCAGCAACATGAACTCGGGATGTATAACGCTTGGAAGACCTCATTTTCTGAACCTCTGACGAAGGCTCCTGCTTAATTATGGTGTCAATAGCACTGTAATAAAAACAAAGTGAGTAAGAAATTCAATCTTAAACGTAGTAAGTTTGTGCACTAACAAAAGATTCATAAAAGCACAGGCACCAGGACAAAATCTCTTCCAAATGATCATCAAATTAAAAAAGTAAACATTATACATGAAAAAACCAGTACAGATTAAAAGCCCACCCTTTTATACGCCACAAGATATGACTTAGGAGGAATAGCATTTAAAAGACAAACATTTATTTCAATAGCAAATACTCAAATCCAAAGATCAATTAAAAAAATTTATAAATCTGGTCAGATGTCAGTGAGAAATCCAGTGGTCAATTTGTCTCTATTAATCTAGAACCATAGCAAATGTACTTTGTTTATCTTGAAATATTTATCATGACCTTCTTCCAGGGCCATAGATACCTCCAAGTCGAAATATTTGAGTTGACAGCCTGAGATCGCATCCCAAATTTAGCCATCCTTCTTCGGCCACCAATCTTGCTTTAGCCAATTCACTGGCAGGGGTAATTGGATAACTGCCACAGGACCATGCATAAATTCATGATAATTCATGCCATCTTATCACATGCAATTTAGATTATGCTGCTTGGTTGGAAATTGGAATACACTTACTCTTCATCAACCCATTCACCCCCACGATCTCCATATACACCTACAGGTCGGCAAAATAAATTTCAATTTGCAGAAAACCCTTTAGAAGCTCAACATTCAAAACCAAAAATACGTTTACCATTTTTGAAAAAAAAAACATAAGAATAGAAAAGCAAATCAAAACACATGGGTACTCAAAATGAAATTACTATTAGCATACCCAGCTCTTAGAGTGCCGCAAGTTGGGAAAAAAAGAAGATAGAAGAAAGAAAAAATTAAGCATCTTTTGCGCAGGCTTTTGGGAGCAATATGATCAGCAGAATAAACACTCAATACATATCCAACAATACAATACATGCATATTTTACATTTTACAAATTCACAACCAAGATCCTTTCCTTTTTCATGCTTTCTTCTCTCTATTATGAAGTAATGGAGATTTTATACTATCAAATGCCATTTGTGGAAGAATTACAATTTCATTCAAATAAAGTTGGAGGATAATCATTGATTCATTTGGTTTGCTGCCAAAAGTAAATTATAAAGAGAGAGTAATAAGGATTGATTGAATAGCAAGAAAATCAAACAAGTGAACAAAAACCACTTGAAGGCTTTAAGCAAATGAGGAGTTAGGGCAACTGCACAATCATACGTGGGATTTCAGCTACATGCACGTAGAACCACTCCATACATCATTCAATGGAAAATTACGGGGTACAACCATGCATTATATTGAATGGCACACTTTACACGTGCACATATGCATTCATCTCATTGCCACATCAATGCATGCGTAATAAACACATGATCAAATAAAAGATGGGCAGGTTCAAAACTTCAAATTATGCGCAGTGTGAAATGATGTTAGTTTACATCCTACATCATATTCATTATGTGGGATTCTGTTTTTTTCTCCAAGCTCATTGTATAAGTAGAAAACATCTCATGCATATAAAATGTGCAACATAAATCTCAAATAAATAAGTGAAAATGACCTCCAGGATAAGCCGATATATTAACGGAGAAGCTATCAGCCCCCAATTAAGCTCAAATTTGCAACATGGAAGTGAGTACAATCCAGTAACAGGATTAAATGGATTATGACTCACAAAAATTTGCCTCAGTTATGTGTAAACTTCTCATTACCTTATGCCAAGTAAGATAATCACACTCTTTCTGAATACTTACTGGTTGATGACAAATAACAAAGCCACTGAAGATTCCCACCCGTTAGTATATTTTTCAGAAGTTCTTCATGTCTTAGCATCTGCAAAATACAAGAAATATTAAGTGGCAAAGTAGCACGCCAAAGGATATCAATACAGCATAATTGTAAAGTCTAACATAGGTTTTTGGAAATTCAATCTCATATTAAATTACCAGATCACCAATACCCACAACAGGAGGGATGGAAACAAGGACGTGCGTGTGATAGTTCAGAATATTAAGCACTTCAGGACTGAAAAGAAAATTAATAAGATTGGTGAATCTAGAAGACAGCAAAGGGTTTTCATCAAACATTGATGCCTTTACATCATCTATAATGTCACCACTTAAAAAAAATATCAAAATTCAGAGTCAGTCTCTAGCCACACATTAATTTATAATTAGACTAAAATGCTCATGCAACTCACTGCAAAATAATTACACTTGCAAGTGGGCTTAGTAACAGATCCAGATTTGGGGGCAAACTATACCGATAAGTCTACACAAGGGCATCTACGTTTACAGAAAGATGAGTTTTTCCCCCCCTTTTTTACCCCTTTGGATGGAGGTGGGAAGGAGGGGGGATCCAAAGTGTGATGATTTCCTAGTAAACACTACTATGAGTCAACATTTGAGTAAAAAACTTGATTTAATACAAGCCACTCTAATGGAGAATGAGAACCACAAATTTAAAGGAGGACAACTTCACCCCACACCTGCTCCGTTCCCAACCCAAAAAGATTATTTTGTCATCACCAAAGATCAATGTTAACAGGCTCAATTGTATATCAATTGAATTTGAACCGCTGCAGATAATTACATACATCATTCACATTAGACATATATAACAAAAACTACTAAAATAGGTGAAGAAACTCACTCGGGCTCATTTGCATTGAAAACATAAACATCAAATCCCATTTCCTCAAGTTTCTTCTTCTTGCCAATGCTAGTGCAAGTCCCAGAAACAACCCTACAAGTAGAAAGAGATGCATATATTAAAAACTAATTACGCAATCCACATTCAAAAACTACGACTAACAGCTCAATTCGAAACTATGACTTAAACAAGAACGAAATACAGGAGAGGTACAGTGAACAAATAAGGTGAAGTGATTACCATCGCTGCCTCTGTAACTCTTTAGCAAAGAACTGTCCAACGAAACCCATCCCTAGAATAAACATCCGAGACTCCAATTGTCCTGAATCAGCGTCAGAACGGAAAATGTTAGATGGTACCTTGAGGCAAAACGGCGACATTCGTCGACTCTGAGTAGAGAAATCTGTCAAACTTTGGCTGAATCGAAAGGGAATCGCCGGAAATCGACCGGAGACCGGACAAATCTCCATTTCTAATTTAGGGTTACGTTACAGATGAAAATGTTTCGGTTCGGGTACGGAGAACTGCTCGCTCATCAACAGCGGAAAACCATCTTGGGTTTTGTAAGATAAAAAAGTAGACCGATAAAGAAAGTGTAAGTATATATTTTACTATCAAATCTATATATGAAATTACAAAAGGTTAGATTGATCAAATTTTGAGATTAAATTTGGAGTTCAAATGACATGGTAGTTGATTTGGGTTTCTTTGATTGGTGTCATGTTATTTAGGTCCCAATAAAAATTTTAAATAATTAACTGTCATGTCATTTGAGCTTTAAATTTAGTCCCAAAATTTGATTAATGTAGTATTACTCATGAAATTAATATATATACACATAAATATTGAATTGATAAATACAATATATGCATATATTAAAGGATATATATGTAAATAGTCTATATTTTAGCACACTTAATTAATTTTTCATCTATTTTTTCTTCCAATTTTAAAGAGATTGATTTTGATGAGTTAGAAGAAAAGTTAAATTCACCCAGGTTTTCATCCTTCATAGTTTATCTATTACTCTAATGCTTCGCTTTGTATGATTAAAAAATAAAATAATGAAAAATTGTAGAAATGGATAAAATATAATATTTTGTAAATAAGAAAAATAGGAAGGATGGAAAAGTGGATGAATGAGTTTTCCTTCCAATTCACTAAAATCAATTCTTCCAAAATTAGAAGAAAAAGTGGATAAAAATTAATTATTTGATATCTATATAATAAATCAGCTAAGCATTTGAATTTTTATCCTATACACATTTCCCCCCTTAAATCTGTCTCAGTCAAGTGTTCTTCTCCAAAATTCACTCCCTCTCTCTTTCCTCTCATTCGACCGTTAACCCCTCTGTCTTTTTTCTTTGTTTGTCCAAATAGAGACCCACCACGATTTGAATTTTGAAACCATAGCTCTGTTCCTCACCACAATGGAGAGCCACATGAATGCAGCACCACCACCATCATCGCGATGCAGAGCCAGATGAAACCACAACTTTGTATCCTTTTTACCCCCTTTTTCACTCCCCCTTTCTGTTATGCTATTGACACTAGCAACCGCCGCCGCATAGCCATAGCCACAGTCATATGTCTCCCTGGTATCTTTCTTCTCTGTTTCTCTCTCTCTCTTTACCCCTTACACACACGGGGAAAAAATTCGCCCCAACCCCCACCCAGTGTTTCTCTCTTTCTCTCTCGCCCATTCTCCACCATAATAGCCCCACCCTAGAGCAACAAACACAGCCACCACCCTCTTTATGCACATAACGTGTTTGTTGAAAAGCCTCAAAAAATCAGTCTCTGAGCATCCAAATACACAACCATAGAAGTTCATTCATTCAATAATGTTTTAGGCATTCTAACTGGTTTCTGATCTTCCTTGACTAATGTTTCTATTGTAATTTTTTTTGTTGACTGATAGAGAAATTATGTGAATTTTTAATTGTTTCCGGGTTATAAATGTTGAATTCTTTTTTGAAGATCAGATTGTTGACGAACCCGACAAATCCCCTCATTGAGAACACTTTTCTATTACAAGTTTTAGAACAAAATGGTAAGTCTATATGTTCTCCATTTTTGGTTGTCTTGGTTATTTCCTATTGTTTTCATCTTTACTCTTGACTGTTCATTAGTAGAGTTGTCAATAGTTTTTGGAATCATCATAGACTGATGTTCTTGCAGTTATTTACTCCTTTGTGTTTATGAAAGATTATGACTAGCAACGACGCACAGGGAAAGCTAGCGATCTCTTTCCAGCTCTGTCCTAGATTAGCTAGCGATGGCCAGTGAAGACTACTTCCTCCTCTCTAGCTAGCAATGGTAAGATCGAACAAAATGGTTTGTTGTTTTGCAGTTTTTACTAGGGGTGTTCAAATTTATGATTGACTGCAATTTTCTACTCTACCCGACCCTACTGAACGGCTAGCTGCAAAAATCGGGTAGGAATACGGAATATCCATTAATTTCTGCATTCCTACCCTATCCTACCTTACCTGCAAAAAAATTATTTAACTTTTTTATATTTGTTTTTAGAAATTATAAGAGTATTTGTGTGGTATAATTTATATTATAACATTATTATTGTTGTGGATGTTTGAGTTGCAAAAATATGGACTTGTTTTTGGTGTAAGTTACATAATTTGTGGTGAGCTGGTGATTTATTGGAACAGTTATGATTTTAATAGGTTTCATATGGTTTAAATTTAAAATAATTGTTATTGTATTTGTGTAACAATTATTATGAATTGATGTTCATGCTTTCTTATATTTTACTGTAATTGTTGTTATAGTTGTTTTAGGTTTTAGTATTATTAATTTATTGTGTTTTTAAATTGGTGCATGTTATTTAATTGAATTATTAAAATAATCCAAAAATTAATAACTACAAAAGTGTTTACCCGACTTCCTACCCAATTAATCGGGTAGGAAGAAAACCACACCTGATCGGGTAGGGTAGGCCAAAAAAAAATTCTTCTGTAAAGTATCGGGTAGGAAGACGAAAGACTATATTTTCTACCCATAAGGTAGGGTGAACACTCCTAGTTTTTACTTTCATGGGTTTTTGTGTTTGTTGTAGATTTTGTCCTATACATGTGTTGATTTCACTTCTTTAAGTTGCACATTATTTCTGCTCTTTTATGTGGTGTATCTATGTAATGACCAATCTTTGTGTGGCATGGTTAAGTGCTTGAATGCTACAGTAGATGTTGTATTGAGCATAGTATTAAATCAATTGGTGAGCTTTGATTTTATTTTTGTGCTTTATCATTAGTGAGATTTGCTTTATCTTTTTGGTGGTAAGTGTTATCTTTGAGTTCCCTTAGATGCTTACATTGATGATAAATGAGTTTATTTGTTGTGGTTGTCTTGTAAGTTGCGATAAGCAACTGCATTTGACAATATTCTTTTATTTGTGATTTTTTGTTGCAATAATAACTAGCAATTGGTGATATCTTATTGGAATTTGTGGGATATTTTTTTGTGTGTTGCATGCATCGTGCTTGACGAAATGTTTTCAGGCACTCTTTATGCCGAGAGTTAGGCTTATCATAGTTTCCAAGCACATGGAAATTTTTTGAGCACATTGAACTAAAGATTAACCATTTTTCTTGTTTGCATTCGGTTAATCTTTCATCCAATGTTAATTTTCTTATTAATTTAGTGTTCTTGATTTATTTTCTTCAGGAGTTTTTCTATCACTCTCTATCTCTTGCACATGCAGCACCAGAACAAACAATAACACAAGTGCGAATTAGTTTTTTTTTTTTCAACTAACACTTCCTTGGAGTGTGTATTATTTTAGGCATTCTCAACCTTAGCTTTCAAATATTTTCTATGTGCAATAGCATTGTGTTTGTGTTTGGAGAATTGCTTTCAAGTGCATTCAGTTTAAATTGAGAATGCAAAGGAAATGCAATATCAAACCAATTTGGTTTAAGCATTTGAGCTTTAACTTCAACGTTGCATATCAAGTTTTTAAGTACGCAATGGAAATACAATAAATCATATTTAAATCTCTAATGTTTATCAATCTAATTTGTCTTTTGCTTTATTACAGTTCTTAATGAAAAAGAAATCCTAATTTTTATCAATTCAATTTATCCATTCAATTCTAATTTTTTAGTACACGTGCTTTTTGAAAAAAAAAATGGTTCATGTGTTGCTTTTTGCTTTGCTCCTATTTTTTTTCCCTTCTTTTTATAAGTTTTCTTCTTTATTGTTGCCAAGGTGGCGTGCACCGGTTACAATTGATGCAATTTGTGAACGAGCATTATAGGTCCATTTTGTAAGTCCACTAAATTACTGAGTTTGGAGTTTGATTTCATTAATGTTGGGTTCTAAATTTTGAGAATTGTAGGGTAAGCATTTTGATGGCAGTATGGTCCTAAGAAAGAGGGTTCAGATAAAAAAAACAGTAAAAGAGTTTTTATAGTCACTTCCACAATCTCTTGGATAATAGTGGTGAGGACATTAAAGAAAGAGATCTACAAATATCTCTATTTGTTCAACTTCTTCTTGTTTTAGATTTTAAGCAATTTCAACTTGGGAAGGAAAATACCAGTTTTGGATAATATTCTACCGTCATGTGCGGGTTTTTCTTTGTGTTATTAGAGGAGATGTTTTATTTTCAAGTTGTTGCCTTGCAATTATGTTTTATGTGTGGTGAGTTTACTAGGGACGTTAATTTTTGACACGATACGATAATTCGATACGAATAAATGAGTTTGGGTTGACCAATTTTTTGTGTCAACCCGTGTATCCATCAACACGAAATGTTAATAGGTTGTGTTCGGATTCAACCTGTTTAACACGAATTGACCCGTCAACCCAAAGTTTTTAACTCGAAAGAGATTGATCTGATCTTTTCGTTGCATGTTTGAGTTTTCATGTTCTATTGGCTTGTTTTTTTCAGTATTTCTTATTTTTATTTGGTTGTGGGATGTACGATTAATATATTTAATTAGTATTATAGAAATAAAATATTAATTATTTGTAATTGTTTATCAAGCATTGACATAATTATTGTATAAAAAAATATTATTACTCATTATTATTATTAAGTTAATTTTTAGTTTGTAGAAAAAGTATGAGGAGAGATTCAATTAAGTGAAAATAAAATCTTAACGTTAAATTTTTTATTCAAAGTTTATGTGGGTTAACACGAATTAAAACACGAACACGACACGAAAATAAATAGGTCAACTCGACACGACAAGATTAGTTAAATGGGTTGAGTTAGAGTTGACTAATGTTTGACACGACTAATATTTGACACGACACAAACCCCACACAATATGACTCAATTGCCACCCCTAGAATTTGCAAACTATGCTTCCATTATGAATCGTTCAACCATTTTTGCCAATGAAATTTTTTTGTTTGAATATTTTATGATCAATTTATCGTCTACATGGCGGCTTTTCTATGTCAACATTTTGGTGTTAATACTTTGGTTCACTTTCATTACTACGAAGATCTCATCTTTGTCTCTATTTTTGGTTCTTGAAAATTTTGGTGTGTTAGATTTTATTAGTTTAAGATCACATTTTTTGGGGCCAA